ACTTCGGGGAAGTGATCGGCGGCGGAGACCTCTCACGCCCGGCCTTAGTCGAGGCCATGGTGCGAAGTGAGAGGAACTGGGAAGTTGTCTCCTCTTTTTACAAAGCAGATATGCTAGCAAAGAAGGAGGCGGAGTGCTGAGGGAGCTATTCTCTTCCTCACCAGCCAATAGACCACCACAGACGGGGCCCTGAACAATCGCGGCCTCAGCCTAGAGAGCGAAGAAGGAACGGGGGTTTTGAGTCTATAAGAGTCTTCCACTTCCTCTCGCCAGACCCTGGGCGAGAGAAGTCATTTGATGATTTTCCCCTAGCAAAAGAAGTATGATGGATTCAGACGGGCCCAACTGTAACAGGGCGGATGTTTAGAAAATGACGGATCAGAACAAACCAAAAAAAAAATTTAGAAAAAAAAAATACATTTTTTTTTAACTTTTTACAGTTGAGGAAAACAAGTGACAAAATGTGGTACGCGCCACAGATTAAGATAACATTTCAAAGAAAACATTATATCATAATATCATATCACTTTTTGACACCAAAACGATACAATCAAGAAAAACAGAAATGAATCATTCTTTATTTTTGCTTTAACGTTAAAATGTCTGTCATATGAATCATTTTTATCAAGGTGCCATGGTATTATATTTCTTGTCTATTCTTATCGGAATTAAAATATTGCATGTACTTTGTCTTTAATTTTGTTATCATACTGTTACTTACCTAATAAAAAGATACCTAACTACGACCAAAGCAGAGAACTATGCTGTCAAAAAAAAATATAACTCACTTATCCAAAAATTAGCTATAGCTAACTTTATGAATTGATTTTACGATACTTACCTATGCTATTTTTTATGATTATTCAAGAGGAATTTGAGTAAGTAGGGTTAGTTAAACGCGCCCACGATGTAGAAAAAAATCTTAGTGTGGGGCAAAGTTTAAAAAAAAAACCTCCTCCAACGGCGATTTTATTAAAAAAATCTAATAATAAGTAAATAGATACGTAAAAAATATATTTGTTTGAATTGATCGTATATATTTACCAGCTACTGCCGCGCGGTTTCATCCGCTGTTTGGCTCTTATTGCTCCTTTTTTTTGTCAAGGGTTAATCATGAAATGACCTGTCCCGCTCAGGGAAGGAGAGAGAGACTCTTACTGACTAAACCCCCCCCCCCCCCGTTCCTTCTCCTGCTCTGGGCCGAGGCCGCGGTGACTCATTGCGATTACCCCGCCACCCCGGCTGAACATCAGCCCTATAGGGCCCCGACTGTGGTGGTCTAGTGGCTCTATGAGGCGCGCGCGGAACGCTACGTGCCGTCCGTTCAGGTCTGGATCTGGTCGGGCGGCGAGCAACCCTTACTCGCCGCGCTTGCCGGAGATCTTGACAGTGGCCAGAGATCGTCCTAGTGTTATGTTTTATAAATTTGTAGCACTCAAGAACATGGTACTAGAGCTAAGAATAGCAGAAAAAAGGACAGCATCATAATACAAGTTTGAAATATCTAATCATAACAATGCAATGGAACGAACACTTACACATACGTTGTTGATAATTCAGTCAACCAATCAGATGACTTGACAAGAGATTAAATTGATTTTAACATTGATCGGCCTTTCGGAAACCGGGCATTAGTGGTGCAAATTATATCTTTTTGTACGCAAAGTACTTGAGAAATTTCGATTAAATGAATCATTATTTAGCATCAAGCGTGTTGATTACATGGGCCAATACATATAGGTACATAAGTATATCTTAATTACGGAAAAAATTAATACCTATAAGATTATTCTGTGAATTATTTAGCAATCTTAGGTACAATGAAGACTTCTTCTGATTTGAACAGAAAAAAAATCCCTTTTAATATTCTTCCAAAGAGAACCTAGGAACATCACTAATTTTGATATAATATGTGATGTCTTCCGAATTTATAATAGGTCTTTACCTATGAAATTGCCGTTCTGCAGTACTGGCCAGTACCTATTATTACCTATGTGATGACAAATTATTTTTTTCTTTTAATTTTAGTAATGGGAAATTTAGATTAAGGATCGCAATTTTTATATTTACTCTGCTCTTAGATAGTTTTTTTAAGTCATCAGTCAGCAAAAGAGGAGGCGGATCACGGTTGGTAAGCAATCAGCGCCCTCCCATAGACACTCGTAATACTAAAGGAGTTGCGTGCGTTGAAGGCCTCTTGTGGGTTATTATATAACAGAATTCGGTGTTTTCCAAATAGTCAAATTCACTACTTTTATTGAAATGTCAAAAACTATACTAAACTTTTCTATGAATTTTGTATGAGGTCTCAACATATGACGTCATAATATTTTCACGTCAAAGAGCATACTTATTTAAAAAAAGTTTAGCAGAAAAAATTTAACATCAAGTATACCTACTTGATTTAATATTTTTTCATCAGGTTAATGAATGAATGTATGATTAACAACATTTTTTTTATTAAAAAGTCAAAATAATTCATTTTTGAGCTAGAAAACTACCCAAAAATATCAGAATGCCTATAAAAAACTGCTCAAAACTTTCGTGCGTCATATTACTATGTACACACACAAATACTTTACAACACCTGTCCCCATATGAGTCATCAAAGCGTTGCCTCCGACTATCACGTACGCCAAACATAGATTATCAGTGTACTAGTCCCACCCTATATACAACAAAACAAATTATATTAATTTTGACATGGTAACACTTAATCATCAGTTCCAGTCCTATTGTATTGTTGTATGCAATTCTAACAAAATTTTGAGAATTTACTACCTACTTAATGAAAATTTTGGATGCGAAAAATTGTGAATGTAGGTATGTGTTGTTATCTCTTTTTGGCGTTATAAGTATTACTTCGTAGGATGAACACAAAGACGATTTGAAATATTGGTGCACATTGCTATTTGATAATAGTACAAAGAAGGCGCTTATCAGGCTATTTCGAACCAGTTTAAACTGGTTATAGTGAGCCAACGATACACTGTTTTTATAGCCGTATATATCGCTGACTCAGTGCGTTAGTAGCAGTGGAACAAGTCTACAAATTTGTGACAATTTGAGTTACTAATCGAATTTGTGACAATTTAAGTTAGTAATCAATCAATCTTATACTAAATTAGGAGCATAAGTTATTTTATGCAGTATTTAATAAACGAGTAGTTTATGAACTAAGGAGTTAGGTTTATATAAGGAACAAGAATTTATTACTTACTCAAATTGCCACAATTTTGACTAGTGCCACTAATGTATTCAGTCATCGAAATATCGCAGTCAACTGGTTTCACGAGCCATTTAATTAACAGCCTAGTTTTTTACACTGTACCATTCTGGCAGGAACTCGATTCTCATGATTATCCCTCCACCCTTCAACTAACAGCTTGAATGGGAAGTTTAACTATTCCATGAAACGATTAGTAATTCAGGCCGTTCGTTTAATTGGTAAATTAACTATTTAGTGTTGCCGCGTGTAATTGAACTTTATGCTGAGTGCAATTTTTAAGAAAAACTTAAACTGCATACCTACCAACTACCTTTTTTCAATTTAAGGGTTTTAAAAATCTACCATAGATCCTCGACCAAAGAGTGATATTGAAAAAAAAGATAAAATAATTTCAATTAATGTTTTATTTATTTATTTATATTATGTATTTGCAATTACTGCGTAACCAACAAGGCTGACATAGTTATATAATCATTATAAAGTGACGATGAATCGATACACGTCATCGAGTGACGAAATAAGCTAATCGATATAAAAATAATTGTGTTTTTATCTGTGCGTATATTTTGACATGTGGCTTAACTCTTACTGGGGCTTTTAAGCTGAGAGATTATGGAAAGAAGTTTGATTTAAATATAGCTGAAAATTTAAAAAAAAATATATTTTACGTTTCCAAAATTTATAATTATTTCGGATTTTAATTTACTTATTACATATCCCTGACAAATTATACGCACACATAGAACTAGAACGTAGCATAGAGCCACCTTAAATGTAATACTTTTTTTATTGTATTATGTCAATTTTTTAATTTTTTTTTTCTTGTTATATATGGCACCACAGCCATTACTTGACAATCACACAAGTGACAAATTGTGCATGAACAAACACACTAATTTAACTCTTGAACCATTTTTCAGGCACATTATTGCTAACATTATTTCATTAATTTCATAACAAAACGATACAACTTTTGTTGTAACCATATCTTTCTCTACCACTAGCGCCATCTCACGACAACATTAAGAACTAGGAATAAAACAAAAATGGCGGGGTTCCTTGTACATTTTTTGTTGCTTGAAAATGGTTCAAAAGGAAATCTAAGCAACATTTAAACCTTACCGAAGCTAAAGTGTCATATTGCCGTAACAGCAGTTAAGTAAAACATCACAACCGCCTCCCGCCATTTTGTAGCCTACTTATAAGCTCATTATTACCGAAATGACATGAGTTTAAATTTAGAACGTAACGTTGTTGGCACTAGAAATCGAAAGCGTTTTGTTACCAAAGAGGTCTGATATCAAAAAGTTTTTTAGTCTAGTAGAATAGCGTGCGTCATCTGATAGCCAATTTATTATGGTCAATGGCCGCTTGATGTCTACAGTTAACCAATAGACGGGCTTCAACGTCTTCTAGCAGTCTATTTAAAATCTTTATTAAAATCCTTAGAAAGTTTGCTCCTGTTTTTTTTTTAAACTGTATCTAATAATTTGTACTTACTCGTATTTTTTAGGCATCGCCTTTATAACCGAATATTAAATATATAAATAATCAGATTTCCTGATAGACTGCTGACCTTCGAAGCCCGTTCAGCGTCAACCATTAAAATCGGGAGCCATAATTCTAATTTACAAAAACTAACTTAAATTACATTTTTCAAAAAATGTTTTATTTTTCATGTCAAAATTTTGATACATTTCGAACATTTTTGTCAAATCAAAAACTTAGACGACACAATTAAATGTTTGCATTTTTTTTAATGAACAAAAAAAAAACTACAAAATACACCGATAAAATATTTTTATTAAAATAAAATTTTGTACTTCATAAAATCAGTATTTGAGAGCCGTCAGAAGAAACATGCTTAAATAGACCACACCTTAAATTTAAAAAGCCGCTTTATTGAAGGCTATTTTGTGACTATATTTTTTTTTTCAAGTGTTCCTTATGCATTCACACTCACACAATCAATACTTATAGAAAATATTTGATTTCTCCCAAAGCATATCTCAAAAGCCACTGTCTCAAACATCAATTTAAAAAACACGCACATCATCGTGCAATTTTTTATTCTCAAAAACAATTATTATAATAATTTATAACAAAGAAATCCTTCATTAATTTGATTACAACATAAATATTTATTTTTTTTACTAAATTAAAGATATGTACGAAATAAAATGTCGGTTAGAATAAATTATACAGGATGTTGGTTTACAACTCAAGTTACACTCGAAACTCAACATAACCTATTTAGTATATAGGGTGCTGTCAAAATTCTCTTGCACATATTTTTTTTTTGTTTGCACACACGTCCTACCTAACGTCGTTTCAATCGAAAAATCATTTCTTTTTAGAAAAAATACATCAATTTCATATTTTCATCATCATCATCATCATTAAAATTATTATTTCTATTATTTTTCATCAAATTCTCAAAAATATTTACAGCACAGTCTATTTCTAGTTTTTTTCATGATTTTTTTTTCTAATTATTATTATATTTTTATCCCGATTTCACTGCGCGAGATTACATTGTCTGTGGCAGTGTATTCTCGCGCTGTGAGAAGTAACTTACAAGAACACATTTGACTATTATTTAAGAATCAATGTTCATTGAAACAAAACTTAATTAAGCTTAAAAATAAAACATTAACTATGTAGTCCGTCTAAGGAATTAAATAAGCCTTAACACACCGTCTGAGATCTGTCACTCACTTTTTTCGAGTTTTTTATTTTTTATTTTCACAGTTTTTTTTATCACATTTTTAAAAATACTGCTTCCTCTTAGGTGCTTCGTGGTAAAGATATGTAGTCACTTCGGCTGAAGTTTCGTCATTATATTTTATTAGAAAGTTGAACATTTTCAAGTTTGTTTGGGGAACCTCGCGGGTGTAGGTATAATGTGGTGACTGACAACCGAAATCGTTCAGGACGTGTATTTTTTACCTTTGCTTGGAGATCCCTGCGCGGGAGAAAAATAATATCAGTATTTTTGCTCATCAGTCTTAATGAAGATTTCAGACATTCAGCTTAGTTATCTAAATTTGAGAATAATAACTCGACTATATTGATCAATCTATTCGTCAACAGACTATATACGACATCAGCGCCTCTAACGGCGAGAAATTCCTCAAAACTTGTTATGTTTTTGTTTTCTTTATAACTTTTACAGTACAATATTTCTAAGACAATAAGGTTGATAATTACCTGGCAATGTCACGCGATGGAGTTGACTGCATAACGAGGCCGCGTGCCCTCTGGCTGATACAGCGTGATCGATGCTATATAATTGTTTGACATCACCTGAAAATATAAATAGGATATGGTTAAAACCTTCTTGGCATAAACTTTCTTATACTGTAATAGCTCTTCCAATTCGTCCCCAATCCCAAAATCTCCAAATCCCTAATCCTCAAAAGCTCGGAAACGCACTCGCAACTTCTTTGCTGCGGGCGTCTAAGGGCGGCGTCGATTGCATACCATCAGGCAATCCGCTTGCTCATTTCACTCATCACATAAAAAAATACCAAAAAAAAAGTAAAAAAAAACAGTTACCTCAAAGATAATATCCTGGTAGCCGTAACAGAAGGTTGACCCGAACGGGTTGGTAGTGTTTGTGGAGGAGGCGCGGTTGAGTACGACGGGGCGCTCGGCGACGCGGAGGGCGCGGGACACTACCTCCCACTTACTGTACGCCGTTATACAAACTGCGCCGCGACTCTCTACTAGCGAGTTCGCCTCGCACCTACAATCGTAATAAAAAAATCTAATAAGACATATTTTTTCATTTTAGGGCTGATTTTTCAATGGTTGGACAAAAGTTACCTGGGGAATAATTATGATGCTGTCGCGTCAGAATGTTTGTATAAGACAGAACAATTTTATTCCTCAGATAACATTTATATGACTATTGAAAAATCAGCCCCAATTTTACAAAGGTTGCCCATTATTAAGATTTTCTCCTGTGTCGTGGGTGCATTAATAAACATACAACTTCACACCCAAACCCGGAACAATAATTTGAGGATCACACAAAAAGTCGTTCCCTGTGAGAATCGAAAGCCAGTTGCCCAGCCACCGCGCCATCCGTGCTGCAGTCAGTATTTTTTTAAACGTTACGAGAACAGATAAAGTTACTATTAATAAATAGCTATAGCGATTAAGATTCGATATTAAAGTAATTACTACATGTATAAAACAAAGTCGCTTTCTCTGTTCCCACAATATTCGTAAATCCTTACTTAAAACTATACAACTGATTTTGATTGGTTTTTTAATATATAGATTGAAGAGACGTTTAGGATATTAACATCCATCAAATACTGGAGATATTTAGTTTCGGCATTGCATACTCGATCGCTCATATCGATCGATCGAGATCGATCATACCAACCAATCCATCAGAACTTAAGGACTTATGGCACAATGAACCGTGCCGTCTGATCGGTACTAATTAAAACTACTCAACCGACTTTAATGGAATTGATAAATGCGTATCTGTAACACATGAGCTCCTAAACAGCTACACCGATTAAGATGCGATTATATTATAAGGACAAAAGAACTCACTTGTCCGGCTGTACAGTGAGTTCAAACTCGCAGCGATGGTACATGTTGAAGTTGTAGTGCCCCGGGTAGTTCGTGTGCAGAACGAACTTCTTCACTTGGTGAGTGCGTGCGTCGAATAATACGTCCTGGAAATATTGCAACAAAAAATTAATTATTTATTCTACTTACCTAGCAAATTTCTTGTATTACTACTCTGTAATCATAATAGACAATACTTTTCAATATCGGTACTGTCAAATGCATATATTTTTTTGTTAAATAAATAATTATTATTGGACACCTTTTTACAATTTTAGTAACAGTCTTTTCGTGAATTTCATAATAATTTCGAGGCATCGTCGAATTTAGTCAATGTAAGTATTTGTACAAGTTTCAGTATGCTTTAAAGAAAGTCTTATCGTAAATAGACCGCAAAAGACCGAAAAGACCAAGTAGACCAAAAGACTAACCAGTCCTAAAGTGAAGTAGTTGAAGAAATAATCAGAAGCTGGGGGCGGACGCCTGCGGGCGGTGGGGCGGTGTATACGCATTTTGTCGTCTGCTTTGTAGTAGGTGCGCGCCGGGGCGCCCAGGGCGGCGCACACGCGCTGCGCCGAGCTACCGAAGCGGACCACGCGGCACACTGACCGACCCGCACCGCCTTCTGAAAGTGACCGTCCCGGTCCTAGAACAAATCAAACCATAATTTTCGTTCATTTCTCGAGGCAGAGAAGTCGACAGGTCTTGACATAAGGGCTTAAAGTACTATGTTTAAAATAATCAAGGCTTAGAAATTAAGCTTCACATACTATCTGTATTTAAGTAATCGCAGTCTAATTAAGAAAAGGGGTAAATGAAAATAAAGTTATTCTCTTTGTAAAATCAGTTTGCAAAAACTATCACTACTAAAAAGTTTTTTACTATGCGACTTTTGACTATTTAAAAGGTTGAAAAGACCAGAAAGAAACATATTAAATGGAATGAAAAATTACGTATTATTTTTCTTTGGAGACTGACTGGTACATTATTTTATCGAAGCGATTGCCTGTAAAATATAGCTTACCTTCAGTAAACATATGGAGACGCAATCCTTGCGTGGCGGTGGCGGTGCGTAGTACGTCGCAGCGTCGCAGATGGAGCTGGTGTCGGTAGCAGGAGAGGGGGAGCTCGGGCAGCGGCGCCCCGCATACCCCGCCCGGACTGTTGCTGCTAGCTTGCTGAAGACATTAGTAGGACAACTTTTAATACTCACATCACATCATCTTACTTCTTACTAATATTATAAATACGAAAGTTACGATGATTGGATGTTTGTTACTCAATCACGCCAAAACGGCTAGACGGATTTGGATGACATTTGGCACAGGCATAGAATACATTTCGGAAAAGGACATAGGCTATTTTTTATCAACATACCACGCGGGCGAAGCCGTGGGCGGAAGCTAGTCAACCTATAAGTCTCCACTGCTGAGCAAAGACCTCTTCTCACACGAAGAAGTATTGAGCATCACCACGCTTGCTCAAGGCAGATCAACGATTTCTAACTTATGATTAAAAAATATAAGTCCAGGTTTCCTTACGGCGTTTTTCCTTCACCGGAGTGATACCACGGCCTCGCAGAAAACCGGCGTGAAATAACCAAAGAGTTATGTTTCGCCGTGTGAGTGAGGTTACTGGAGGCCCAATCCTTCCCCTACTCCAATCCCCAAAAGATCGACAACGCGAAGGAGTTACGAGTAACTCCTTCGTGGTTGCGTGTGTCCATGGGCGGCGCTGATTGCTTACCATCAGGTAATTCGTTTGCTCGTTTGCCGACCTATCAAATTCAGTGATATTGATAGACAGGATATTGTTTTTCTACCAATGAACACGTACATTTCTAAATATGCAATCATGTCTGGTGGTAATTGTGCTTAAAATATAGAATGTATTTAAAAAATATTTTATGTGTCCAAATATTCCCTTTCCTCTATCCCTCCCCGACCTCCCCACTACGTCTATAGGTAGCGCCGATAGCTTACCATCAGGTAATCCGTAATCTGGTGTGCCGAACTTCATAATAAAAAAAAAATATGGCAATTGGAAACAATTGTATTTAAATTTAAGAATGTGTATACTAACCTGATGTTGAGATCCGTAATAGATAGTGGTTCGCGAGACGACCGGCGAACCACCGTTGGGGAACTGAAGGGAGCCTAGCCCGTGGGCATAACCAGGCTGAAAAAAAAACATATCCTACACTATTAAAATAACTATATTTCTAAAATAACAACGCAATACAACGTTAATTTTACACAGCCTTTTACCCGCAGTAGAACTATTTGCTTTATATGGGACTATCGAAACATTGAAATAAATATATATTTTTAATTTTAACACATATTTTCTTGGGAAGAAGTTACTTCTTACTAATTAAGCCGACAACATCACCAGATTCGATTACTAATTTATTTAACTCAGGGGCAACGACTTCACGACATGTCGCGCGCGCAATCATATTTTATACATTACCATTGGTTTGAAGTCGATTTCGAGTTTTGTTTTCACATTTTTTAAAATCTTTATTTACTCGATAAATGATATTATGTATATGATTTTAAAAATCTAGTCGACGACGTGTCGACTATACTACTTAGATCAGATGACTTAGTTAAGTGACTGAGTTAGAAAACAAAACGCAGGATAACAGTCATGTAAAATTCACGTTGCATTTACAACCATATTCTTGTAAAAGGAAGTCCTAAGTTTCTCCACCGTTTGAAGAGTTTAAATCCATCCGTGTATGCATTGGAAAAAGTATATAAATTGTTAATAAAGTTTTTCACTTCTTACAGTCGTACACAGAATCATTTAATAGTTACTTGAGCCAGTCCTTGGCAATGAGGATTTATTCGAAATGTCAAAAAGAAGTTTACCATTAACTTTTCTGCATGCAAATACAATACTTATTTCAATCAAACCCCAAGCGAATTAAAATGCAAATTTACACACTTCGAATAACTACGATTGAAAAGTTAAATAGAAAATACTAAAACTGCTCAAAATCATATCGACCATTTAGAAAGTGGTAATATTAAGATACATTACTTAAACTGATTAATCGGAGACAATGTATTTATGACCGAGTCTGACCCTACACAGTTTAAGAACAAAGTAACTAACGAATAAGTTAAGTAACAATTAAATGTCTCTGAGTACGACAGAAAACAAAACATATTTTCACTCACCACTATCATTTTCTGAAAGACGATCAATTTGGTTACTTATCAACTTTATAATAAACCTTAAAGTTCTGTAAAAACCAAGCTACGCGACATAATTGCTTCAATCAATTTTCGATTTTCTCACAAAGCTGTCAATGCCTATAAAGTTGAATATCCTCTACAGTTTACGTAGCTTGATTCACATCATGATCTAGTTATACTAACTTTTAAACTTTCGCGTTTCATATTTATAACATAAATGACGCGGGTATTAACGCGAAATAATTATCTAAATAACACAACCTCACTTTTCTTCAAAGTCGATAAACACATCTGTGGATACGGTCAGCGTAGTGTGTAGACGGCCTAATATGGTAGAAAGTGAAAATAAGGGGGTAGATGAAGATTCATCGCCCGAATGCGGGGAGCTGTGACATCGCATCTTCAGTCTGCTTGTGACCACGACCTGTGCAACCGGGTCGAAACGTCAAACCTACCAAGGTATTTAGATAATTAATTTCGCGTTAATACCCGCGTAATTTATGTTGTAAATGATCTAGTTATTCAAGCAATTCTTAAAAGACAAGCAAACAGACAAACAAGCATATCCTTTTCGTGACAGTTTACTTTAGATTCTTACCTCAAATTTGCTATCGACGGGGAAATAAAAGGATAGTCCTCTGAAGTTGAGCGCGAACAGATGTCGCTGGGAGTCGTAGAGACCAGGGTGTGTCGCACCGAAGCAGTGTTCCACCTGCTCTATGGAGGGGGAGATCTCGGGCGAGTTGAAGCACATGCCACTGGAACATTTAGAAGATGGTGATTAACAACTTTTTACAAGATAAAATTCATAAACTTAGCAGGACCAATCGTTAAATCGGAGTAGATCTATACTCGATTTAATTTGTGTACTAAACTGTAAAAGGGTATGTCACATTACACGTTATTTTAACACGACTTTATCACCAATTCAATATGCACATCATCAGCCTATAAGTGCCCTCTGCTGACCAAAAGCCTCTTCTAACACGGAGAAGGTTTGAGCATTAATCAACACGCTTGTTCAAGGTGGATAGGCGATTTCAAACTTATAGTTAGATAGGTAAAATTTTCCTTATGATGTTATCCTTCACCGTGCGTTATCTATAATATAAAAATGAATCGCAAAATGTGTTGGTAAGCGCATAACTCAAAAACGGCTGGACCAATTTTGCCAAATCCTTTTGTTTTGTATTTATTATTGTAGGTTCTTATGAAAGAAAATATTAGGCAAGTGGAGGGGAAAATTGGGGAAAAGGGACCCTTTCATTGTTAGCGTGATAGTTGGACCCGTGCGAAGCGGGGGCGGGCCGCTAGTATCTTAATGAACTTATAAAGTACATATGACTCGGAATTAGTCACATTGGTACATGCCTGCATGAGAAGCGAGCGTCTTAACCTTCGGGTCACCACGACGTTAATATTACTACTTACAACTATTAGCAAAGTTGAAATTTCTGAGTGAGATGGAATATAGATGTTAAATTCAAATGTAATACCAAAGTAAGTGTTGATCCCTTCGTGTTAAAGGAGGGTAGAATCACCAAACACAGGACATATTGCATATATGAGTATGTCCAGGGTTGCAAGCGCAATCATAATACCGAGGCCTCGGCTCGAAGCAGAAGAAGGAACGACAAGGGATTTAGTCAGTAAGAGTCTGACACTGACAACATTTTTGAGGAATAAATAGTACAACATTAAAAGTGTGGGTACTTCTGTTCACGTTATCTATGTATCAAGAGTTTTTATTTTATGCAATAGGTAGGAAACGAACAGATTCTTAGGGATTTGAGGTTTGGAAAAGGGTAGGGAGGCTACGATCCGATTTTTTTATGGTACAGGTCGGAAAACTGGTTACTCTACTTAAAGACTATTTGAATTATTGTGGTAAAAAAATCAAGTTTCTTCACGCCAACAACCTCACTCACACGGCGAAACACAACGCTGTGGTTGTTTCATGCCGGTTTTCTGTGAGGCTGTGGTATCACTAACGCGGAGTCGAACCATTCGTGTCCAAGTTTAGGTCTTCCACAAAACTATTCAATGTGAGTATCTTAATTTTACTTGCACTAGTAGGCTTGTTCAGCTGGGGTTGCGGGGTAAGCGCAATGAGGCACCGCGACCTCGGCCCGGAGCAGGAGAAGAAACAGGGGGGTTTTTAGTCAGTAAGAGTCTGACACTCCTTTTGCCCGGCCCTGGGCGGGAGAAGTCATTTGATGATTTTCCCCTCACAAAAAAAAGCACTTGTAGGGTCACGATGTGAGGGGAATTGTATGCATTTACTTAGGTATATTTATATAATAAAATATTCAAGATGTATACAAACGGTTATAGTAACTTTAAACTGACATTGACGGGTGACATAATATAGCAACAGTAATGAACAGTCACATTATAATGTCATTAGGTCGCTGCTACGTTACGAACGATGGAAACCACTCGACATTAGGAAAAGGGACGCAGGAATGTATTCACTACATAGTATGAAATAAAGTCACTTTCTCTGTCCACATGTATGGTTAAATCTTTAAAACTACGCAACGGATTTTGATGCTTGTTTTTTTAACAGATAAGGTGATTGAAAAGGAAGGTTTATATGAATAATAACAACGGTTACATAGAGGAGGAATTTAGTATCAGCATTGTAGTCTTGTGAAAGCGGGGCGGGTCGTTAGGACAATATTAAAAAAATATTATTAAAAAAACAAAATACCCGACTGCACACTAAAAAAAGAGTAAAACAAGCCCCACAATACAAATTTACTGAATATAATTTATAAATGTTGATGGAAAGCATCGCAGGCGGGGACCAACAGAATCTTATTTATAGTCATTTCTGTTGTGCACCATTTAGCAGAATTTTCGTTGGTGGCGGTCAAGGTGGTCCCCGCCTGCGATGCTTTCCATCAACATTTATAAATTATATTCAGTAAATTTGTATTGTGGGGCTTGTTTTACTCTTTTTTTAGTGTGCAGTCGGGTATTTTGTTTTTTTAATAATATTTTTTTTATTTATAACTTTTTAGCTGTTTTTATTTAACGTTACTCCCGTGATTGAAATGAATCTAATGATACCGCATACATACTTTTTTAAAGGGAAATTTAGAAAAAATATTATTATGTCTTTATCCCGTGGGACTTTTAGGATAAAATGTATCCTATGACACTCCCGTAATCAAGACAAATCTAACGATACCTCATACATCAAAATCCATCAAGCCGTTTAGGCTACAGGAGGTCACAAAGGAAAAGACATACATACATACTTACATACACTCGAAAAACATTACCCTCCTTCTTTGGCAGTCGGGTAAAAAGGCATTCTAAACGGACAATAATTTGTTAATCATGTAGGTATAGTTTTGAATATCTTTATTTAGTTAGTTATATTATTGGATGTCAAGACTGTTTAGAATTGTATGACATTTACATAGGAGTTGCAAAAAGGTCAAGTTTTTTTTGAGGGAAGATAATCATCAAGTCACTTCTCCCGCCCTGGTTGGAGCGAGAAGGAGTGTCAGACTCTTACTGACTAAAACCCACCACGTTTCTTCTCATGCTTCAGGCCTTGTACCTACTAACACGACACTTAGCCTGCTACCCTGGCCAAATATCCCATAATTGTAATAGTGTTTCACCGTGTGAGTGAGGTTACCGCGGGCCCTTCCCGACAGTGACTAAAAGCCGGCAACGCACTCGTAACACCTTGATGTCCCGGGTGTCCATGGGCGGCGCTGATTGCTTACCATCAGGTAATCCGTCTGCTCGTTTGCTGACCTATACTATAAAAAGTATTTTATTCCATTTTAATAACTTTTGTAGTTCAATGAAAATTATATAACATTGCTTTAGGGAATTTATTTAAGTAGTCGAAGCATGGCGTGAGTGTACTAATTGATATTCAGATCGCGTTCGGAACACAATGATAGCATTGACGGCTTTGCATTCATTGCCAGTCTAGACTAAGGTCTAACATTTTTTTTTTCTAATGAATCTCTTGAATAGCATACTAATTTTTGTGAAGGAATTAAGGCATATTATTATATGTAGTAGAACTCGCCTATTTTCAGTGGTTTAAGTTTTCCTAATATAATACGGTAGTTTTCAACTAGTCAAATTCAATATTTTTATCCAAATGTCAAAACGCATTTTTCTATGAAATTTGTACGAAAAACTGAATTATCACGTCATAGTTTTTTTCCGTCAAATACTTCACTTATTTCAAAAAATTAACTTAAAAATATCTTAAATTCAATGAATCGATAGATCGATGAATTTTTCAATGCAATAGTTATTTTTCAATATTGTATTTTATTGAAACGTCGAATTAATTTATTTTTGACCTAGGAAACTACCCAATTAAAAGCAAGGTACACTGATATTCGGTATACTTCAAGACTAACTCAGATTTATTAAAACCTTCGTGAAAAACGAACTAAGCTTAGCAGTTGGCACTTATAGACTTTATTTCTGAGAGGGGAACGTCATTAAACAAATGACTTCTTCCGTCCTTGATGGGTCGATAGTTTTACATTCTTTCTGATTCTGCTCCGAATTAATACCATGGTCATACTTAAAGGCATATAATGCGAGTGTGTTATGAGAAAGGGCGGCAAATGAGTTGACGTATTACCTGATGATGAGCAATCAGCGTCGCCCATGGACGCAACAACGGAGAAGTACGATTGCGTTGCCAATCTTTTGGGGATTGTGGTTTTGGGAATTTAGGGATTTGGGGGAGGGGAAGTGCACTCGCTTTTGTGTGTGCGTGTGTGTGTGAAGGGTATAAATCACAATGTTTTTCTCGAACCGGGAACCCGATACTTCGCACGTAGTCCACAAATAAAAAAAAATAGAAAAAAATGCAACACTTACCTATACCTAAGCTTAACTAATTTCATATTGTAGATTTCTATAACTTTAAGTCGCTGGGCAACCGGATCGAATATTAACCGGATGCCGTCTTGCGGCATATTTATAACTAGGTCTACTGACAACGGATTCTGAAAACAAGAATAAAAAAAATATTTTAATAAATTGCAAATACATTACTATAACAATCGAAAATGTTCAAGGTACCTCTCAATTAATTTCAGTCCGATTTTTCAGTTTTTTTTAATTATTACTATTTTAAATATAGGTAAACTACAAAAGTTTATACTTAATTTACGGGAGCTGTTATAATTACTGTCATATTAATAATATGTTGTATGATGGCGTCTGATCAAGGTGGAATTACAAAGATCAAGGTATAAACAGGTTTACAATACATTATAAAGAAATTTTCAATGGACTTATGTAATCAGGACTTAAAAAATTACATTATTTAAGGCGATAAATACGTTTTAAATATTACAAAAACATCACATTTTTCATTGTAGAAGTTTTTTTAGTTCAGAAATTCGCCTAGTAACTATTAGGTAACCCTTTATCTACTAGATAACTTTATCAATAAGCAAGCACAGATTAGCTAGGCTAAAAACAAATTTTACAACGCTCCTTGAAAATTAGCAATACCATGTTACTGGCTGGCGAGATTACGTAAAAAGGTTTTAAATTTCCACGTTTTATTGTTATCTTTTTTAATGGCCCAAGTTCTCTATAACCTCTCAATAACGCTGCAACTCCTGTAAGCCAGGATCTACAGTAGATACAACCATGAAAACACCGAAACACTGAAGTCCGGCGCGTCCCAGGGACATGAATGACTGTCTTGGATCCCGCAACAAAATAAATCAGAAGATATTATTTAAGGAGAAAAAATTGTAATCTGTGGATGTGATTTGACATTTTGAGCATTCGATGTTTGAAAATAATTTCTTTTTTTCCCGCTATTTTAATTGCATCTTACCTGGTCACTATAAAGTACTTGTACTCCTCGTATTGTGCCCACTTGACTCTGAATGATGGCCACGGACTGGGAGAAATGCATCCCTGTAACATAATACATACAACATAAATAAATAAATCACACACAGTTGTTTATCAAAATACAGCCACTTAACACGCACCATAATTGTAATAGTAAATATGTTCGCGATAAACTCTAAAAATACTGAAGTAATTTTGATGCAGTTTTTTCCAAGCGCGTTATACCAGAAGGAAGGCATTGAATTGTTTTTTTTTTTTTTGATATTGTAGTATGAATAAAAACATTGGCAAATTAAATGAATGTCAGAAATAGCCACCAAGCTTGGGGTAAGACCATTTATTTTTCCAACAATTCGTGAATAAGAGTCCCGTTGCGACTTGAAACTCGACGAGCTTTCCTTAGTTAATTCACGTAAATAAACCTTTATTTTCAATGTATCACGATTGTTACTGTACAAGATGCAAAGAAAATTGTTTTCTAGATAATAAGTTAAGGTACTTCAACTAGGCTTTTCATATTCGAGTGCCCACGTCAAGTATATAAATGCAATCTTGTTGAGCTGTAGATTATATTCCTGGTTTTGCATACAAACTTTGGCAATATAAAGACTTCGCAAAAAATTGTGTTTTTTCGCCAATTTTTCATCCTAATGACGATAGCAATAAAGCTTAGTCTATTGATCGTTTATTTGTTTACCAACCCTTGATGGTAAGCAGTCACCGTAGCCAAAAGTGAATGCGTTGCAACGGAATTTGCCTAAAGTTATAAACACAGTTCGTAATCATGGAGTTTGACTTTTACGTAAAAACTACTGAATGGATTTCTTTTTCAGAAACGGTCAGGCATTTGGCCGCTATCACGCCTGGTGATAAACGATGATGCGACCTTCGAGGACTTCTACGTATAAGCAACCTTAGACCTTGAAGACACCCAGTTGTACTCTTCGGGGAACACTGACCCCGGCAAAGAATTTCACTCCATAGCTAATCTGTTTACGAAACTGGAGGCTTTGAAGAAGATTTGTCAACGAAAAAGATTTATAATAGTCTGGAATAACACACAGGGTACTTTATTCCACCCGAGTGGGCCCGTAGCGTTCCGCGCGCGCCTCAAAGAGCCAATAGACCACCACAGACGGGGCCCTATAAGGCTAATGTTCAGCCGGGGTTGCGGGATAAGCAGAAGAAACGGGGTGGTTTTTAGTCAGTTAGAGTCTGACACTCTCTCTCGCCTTACCCTAGGCGGGAGAAGTCATTTGATGATTTTCCACTGACAAAAAAAAAGTGTACTTTATTCCAGGTAACACAGGCCGTTAGCAGGAAGGTATGTATTTTATGAATTGCACAGCAAAAACTTCATATTCTTTAGAACCCTCAGACATCAACATTCATACACACGGTACATCATGTTTATGTTAAGAAGGAGATAATAAAACACGTTTCTCGCACGTGTATCGATTACGGGCATAACGATAGACAGTTGCCGTGGAAAGTTTATAATATTCCTGTAATGATAAACCGTACCACGACACAGCTGTTGAAAAACAACACGATTTATTTATACGAGTAATAAGAGAGATGAAATATAAATTGTATTAAAAGACACAATGAATTTATTCATCACTTTTTCATGTCAACAATCATGGCACCAAAAACTAGCTACTTCTAGATATTTCCAAATTTCCCTACGCTTCCTTAAAAATTTCTTTTATAAGAAACCACTTTAGTAAAAGAGTTATCAGCCGGAGAGCTAGCGTAATAAGTTACTGCGGACTCGGCCTATAGCAGGAGAAAAAACGGGCGGTTTTTAGTCAGTAAGAGTCTGACACTCTCTCTCGCCTCACCTTGGCCGAGAGACCTTCCGTTGTTTGCGAAATATTTGGAGACTATTCAATTCTTCTGACAATTATATAAAGCCATGAATAATTAAATGATTATAAATGATAATATTAGGCTATTATAAATTATATATTGATATGAAACGGGGTCAACAAACTGTATCGCGGTGTATAATTTTGAGAATTGATTATTAATATTTTATCAAGTTCAAAGCAAACGATTATTTTTTGCGTAAAAATCATGATTTCAAGTTGTAAAGGTGTTGACCGGCTAATATTGAAAATTGATTGAAAAATCTCCTTTTAATTTTGTACTATAAATTTTTGTCATGTAAGATCAAAGCTACGAAACGGCTGGTCGAATTGTCGTAAATAATACAAACAAATGCACATAACGCGATACAAGACCACGGTCACAAACCAACCAATCAAATTCCCGCAATCAAGAAATGTCATTCTATTCAAATTAATATTGACCAATCATAAGCGAAATCAAAAAATCATTTATGGCTGAAAGTCAGCGACCCAAACAAAATCTACGCAAATAATTATTTTTATTATACAAGATAAGATAACAAACTAAAGAAGAAAACTTTTAGTGTTTGTAAGTATATTTGTACCGAATTGACTTCGAAACAACTGTATCGAAATGGATAATAATTTTGCCATATCACAGTTTATTTTGCAAGGACTAATTAATATAGAAAGTATTTCTAGAAGATCGGAACCTATACTCTTTTTTATGTGAGGGCGGCAAATGAGCAGCTGTGTTACCTGATGGCAAGCAATCAAAGCCGCTCTTGGAAACAACACCAGAGAAGTTACGAATGCGTTATCTCCCGTTTGGGATTAGGCTTTTAGAGATTGAGGGGTTGAGGACATCACTCTTACGGTGCAACATAACGCTATGGTAGTTTGATACCGGCGGTGAAGACTGTGGCGTGAAACAACCAGAGCGTTGTGTTTCGCCGTGTGAGTTAGGTATCCGGTGGAGGCCTAATCCTTTTCCTTCTCTATCCCTCGCAAACCCCAATCGCTAAATATCCGAAACCCTAATCACCAAAAGTCCGGCAACACAATTAAACTTCTCTGTTGTTGCAGGTGTCAATGGGCGGCAACGATTGCTTACCATCAAGTCATACGTCGACATATCACATAAAAAGCATTCGCACCAAAGTATGACTCTCCCACTCTTACTCTACACAAATCTTTTTAATAGGTCTTTACCTATGAAATTGCCGTTTTGCATGAAAAAAATTAAACGAATTTTTTGATTTGAAATGCGATGAAAATGTAACACTAATCAATAAACAAATGACTACTTTTGGAAAAAGAAACCCATGTTTTTAAAACAAAATTAATTTGAAATTAGAATTCTTAGCCAAACAAAAACTATTTTGATTTCAAATGGCCAGTACTGCAGAACGGCAATTTCATAGGTAAAGACCTATTATTAAGACGAGACCGAAACCACTCGCGAATACATAATTCGCGATAAGATTACCTACCTATTACGTATTAGTTTAATTTATCAGATCTGGCGTATTTTAGGCTGTAATTTGAAAGTCAAAAACATGTTTGTCACCGATATCGATCAAGGTTATTTTATACACAATAACAACTCTATTATAATGCTTATTTAACCAAAGTAATCGAATTAATTACGTAGGTACGGCACACAGTTAGGACATGAAGCTTTATTATTCCTTTATTTAATGAATTTTCACCTTTATTGCTTATCAATTTAAAGTTGAAAATAATTAAAATGATTTTTGTAGACGTCTACGCAGATACGGTATACAGTTAAGATATGAAGCACCTCTATGGATTTATTTAATGAATTTTCATCTTTATCATTTTAAATTTAAAGTCGAAAATCAGTTAACGGAATTTTCGTATACGTACGTCTACGCAGTTTACGGAATACACGTGTTTACATTCGCGGATTTTATTTATTTTTAACCGATTGCTATGAAGGGTTATGGTTTTAATAAGTACCTATATCGTTTACAGAATACTTTGTGTTAACATTTAGGTATTGTTAAATGTTTAATTTATGTGAAGTACTTATTATGCCTGTAGATTGCATGTACCGCATCTGGGCCTCGTGCCGGATAAGGAACGGGGTGATTTTTAGTCAGAAATTTAATGAATTTCAAACATGAAATAAAGGCTATATATGTATATATTATTATACATATAACTCTAGCTAATCGTAAACCGATTTTTTATTTTCGTCTATCATCTTTATAATCCATACTAATATTATTATAAAGAAGTAAAATTTGTAAGTTTGTATGTAGGGAGTAATCTTTGGAACCACTGGTCTGATTCCCAAAATTCTTTTACTTATTGATAGCTGCAATGTTCCCGTGTGCTATAGGTTATAAGACATCCCGCTACAATCAAATGGAGATGAGCAGCCGGTGAAACCGCGCGGGAGTAGCTAATATACTTATTATAAAAATTCATTCATTTGAATTGCCTACAAATGAATATTTTTGCATCCTAATGTTTAGGTATATCCTTACGATATCAAGCCCATCCCACTTATAATGCAAGTAGTTAGTAATTAGGTTGTTACTTTCAAGAAAGTAAAATTGACAAAATTTTAACAGAAAAATATTTATTGAAATCAAACCAGTCCTTTCTGAGCTTATTCAATACAAACTAACAAACAGAATCTTTCCTCCTTAAATGAAACATGATACTATAGGTGCCTTTTTCCTTGCGAGTTCCAAATTCAAATGTCAACGAACTAACATTGATTCCACAGGACATTGTTTCCTTTTTTGCAAAGTGAACAAATTTCCAGTTAGGAACTCTGTTACCATAGTCATAAGAGCTATTTTAAAACTACTCAGGTAGTAGTGACCAGGAAGCCAATTTACTTTCATTGTATTTTCGACTTTAAGCCAAAACTATAAAGTTGAAAATCTAGAAAGCAATCTGACTGAAAGGTGTACGTTGACCTGCATGGTGTCTGTACCTTGTTGAATATTTTATTACACAGACAGAGGGGTGGAATTTGAAACAGGAGTCCGGTACTAAAATTAGTTTAGTTGTTTTGTTTACTATTCAGTTTTTGTTTCAATGTATAAATTACTCACTAGCGACCCGCCCCGGCTTCGCACGAGTGCAAGCACAATGCTGATACTAAATACTCCACTATTTAGTTGATGCTAATATACATATAAACCTTCCCCTTTAATAACTCTATGTATT